GCGAGCATCTACTTGCCTGACTTGGTGGAGCCTCGGTTGCGCCACGTGCTGGAGCATCCCGAGGAGACGCTGATCGACCTCGCTGGGGTCGCCGAGTGCCCCCTGCGCCGGCAAGTTTCACGTCGCCGAGTCCGATCGCGTTGCGCTTGGCCGCGGACTCCTGGAGAGGATTGTGCATTCCCCTCCGGGAGTGCGATCTGCTGCCCGCGCAGGGCCGCCCCTTGCTGAATTGGCTGTTCGGGGTCACGAAGGGGGACAGCGACGACCCCGAGTCGCCCCTGCGGCTGATTATGAACCTGACGGCGACCAACGAGGTTTCCAGGGCGATGGACGTCGATATCGGATCGCTCCCATTCCTTGCACAATGGAGGTGCATTCTGCTCGACCCCGACTCTGAGGTGCAATGGTCGTGCGACGACCTTCAGGGCGCATTTTGCCTGCTGCGGCTTCCGCCCAGTTGGGCGAGTTCTCTTGCTTTCTGCTATGCTTTTTACCGCGGCCGAGTTGGACCTCCCCGAGTACGGCGGCTCATACTGTATAGGAGCAGTTACGATGCCAGTGGGTTATACAAATGCCATGGGCATCGTCCAGCAGAGCCACCGAAGAGTCCATGCCAGTATGGGCATGAGGCCCGATGGGCCCCCCCGCGAGAGGGATATCAGGAAGGACAGAGTTTTTTCCGGCCATGAGCGCCTTCGCGAAGCATTTTTCGGAGGCCTGGCAGGCCTACTGCGACGACGCCGATTTCATTGAGATGGTCGCACGGGGGGCGCAAGGAGCTCGAGTTGCGAGGTTGGCGCTGGGTTCGCTGTCCAGGCTCGTCGCCGCTACCAGGACATGGACATTCCGCTCAGCGACAAGAGCGAGACAGATGCGAAGCGGGTTCAGCGGCTCGGCGCAGCCATCGATGGTGAAGATGGTCGCATCAGCCTGCCTCCGAAGCGCGCGGCCCTCCTGGTGAAGCTCACCTCGTACGCAGCCACGGCGTCCATCACGCACAAACAGTTCGAGATTGTCGTGGGCCACTGGGTGCACGCCTTCGGGTTCCGGCGAGAGCTGATGTCAGCGCTCGTGGAGGTTAGGCCCACCCTCCGAGAGTGGGCCCCTGCCTGGAGGCGCCGGTTGCCTGCGAGTGTCAGCCTCGAGCTCTGGCAAGCATGCGCGCTCTTGCCCTGTTGCGAATTCGACCTGAGGGCGCGGGTTAGTCCGCTGGTCACGGCGTCCGATGCATCCGAGGGTGGTGAAGGAGTCTGCTGCGCCTCGAGGCTCACAGGGCTTGGGCAAGCAGAGGTTATGAGGTTGTCGCCGAGGCTTGCCGCTTCGGCTCAGGTACTCAGGATTTCCTTGGCCTCCTGGAGCTCGGGAGCGCTGGGCCGGCCCGTGCCGCGTTCGAGGCCCTTGGGCTCGACGTCAGTTCGTATGCTGTTGGTCTGCTCCCTGATGGCGAACTGCGCGCTGCTCTCGCACGGTGGCCAGATGCACTGGCATTGCGAGGTCCCGGCAGAAGCGCTCTACACCAGCAGCTGGAGACGCTCTTGGACCGCGCCCCCCACCTGCGCGACGTGCTCGCCGTGATCTACCTCCGCAGGGTCACTCTGCGCCCTTTCGGCGAGGACGTCGCGGCTTTCTTCGAGCCGGTCGATGCTCTTCGACTTCTAGTTCGAGGAGTGCGCGTGAGTTCATGCTGCGTCTGCCCAGTGCCGTTGCCCCCGAGGCATCGGCAGGCTGTCAGCGCTCGCTTCACAAGCGAGGACTGCGCGCCGCGGGCCTGCGAGTTGGGATTGACCAGCGGCGCGCACCACGCATGGGCTGACTTCCCACGGGGGGGGCCAGCGCAGGAAGGTCGCGTCACAGACCAGATTATCGGCGACGCGCCCGGGACATCTCGGAAGCAAAGTTTCGGCCACGTTCGCAGGACAGACAGGGGCGGCTGCTTAGCACCGGCGCCCCCAGCCTGGCAGGAGGGCCCCCATCCAGCCCGACGCCTGGCCGGCCGCCAGACCCAGCCGCCCTGGCGGCAGAGCGACGGCGAGGCGACGTCGGAGGCGCCGGTGGGCCAGAGATTTGGTTGCGAGCTCGACGGTCTCCCTGGCGGCCCCGATGCCCCGGGACAGACGACCGGCCGCGTTCGCGGTCGAGGAGGCCCCGTTGCGGGCCCTCTGCCGCCCCTGGAGGGCGAGACCCCGCTGCGGAAAGCGGCGAGAGAGCTTGGCTTTCCTGTGGCGTACCTTGAGCACGCTTCGAGCAAGCGTCTAGTTCGTGACCCTGCTCAGCGAGAAATTCAAGGCCTTGCCGTCTCGGCGCGCCTCCTGCCGCCGCCAGTGCCTGGGGCCTTAGTCGGCAACTGGGCCTGTTCTTCTGGCTACCTGCCGCGCCCGCCGACGGCGCCCGAGTTTGGGGGCATCCCAGCCCACATAACCATGCACTGCTGGAAGCGCTGCTTGGCAAGGGTCTGCAGGAGTGTTCGGAGCAAGACTTGCAGCTGCTCGCTCTGCAGGGGCTCGCGCGGGCCTCCATCTACAAGGGCTCGGACGTGAGGCTCGCCACGCAGTCCCGGGGCCGAGGGGGGGCGCCCCCGCTGAGCGCTGGCGTTAGCGAGTGGCCCTGGCCTGGCGAATGGCCGGAGGGCACATTAACGTGCTTGAGATGCGCACATTGCTGAGCGCAGTGCGCTGCAGATTGCGTAAACCTCAGAATGTGCGCACGAGAGCGCTCCACTTCTGCGACTCCCAGGTGTGCATCAGCGTTGCCTGCAAAGGGTGGAGCAGTTCCCGAGCCCTTCAAAGAGTTGTTCGTCGCTTGTCTAGCTTGTTTCTTGCTGCCTCTCTCTACAACTACTACGTGTGCGTCCGGTCGGAAGACAATCCGGCCGACGAGCCAAGCAGATGGGGAAGCAAATAGTGGAGCGACGGACGGCACGCGAGAGACAGGCAGAGCGACGCAAGGCAGGCACGCTGAGAATCCTTAAGGTGGGCCTGAGGGCCCTGAAGCGCTATGAGCGCGCGACTGAGACATTATTTTCTTACCTTGACTTGCATGGTCACCCTCTCCCCACAACCGGAGAGGAGGTAGATCGACTGCTTTCGGACTTTATGGAGGAAGTTTGGGACACTGGCGGCAGCCGCAGCCTTGTGGCCGACGCCATCTGCGGGCTTCAACACTTCATCCCCGCCTTGCGCAAGCAGTTGCGGGAGGCCTGGTCTCTGTTGCGAGTTTGGGACCACCATGAAATCCCGGCATGGGCGCCACCTTTGGCAGCGATCCAGTGCTTGGCCATGACGGGGTACGCACTGGAAGCCGGGCGCGTTGACATCGCTGCCGCTCTCATGGTGGGTTTCAACGGTTTCCTGAGGCCGTCGGAGCTGCTGTTCGTCACGGCAGACACCGTGTTCGACCCAAAGGCTGGCGTCGTCATGATCAACCCTGGCATGACCAAGGGTGGTCAGCGACAGGGCGCGCCCGAGTCCATCGTCATAGACGACTGCGTTGCTGTGGGGTTGATGCGTCTACATTTTTTTACGCGCTCCCGCAGGGAGGCGCCCCTCCCCAAGGGCCTGGTTGAGTATCGCAAGCAGTTCACAAAGCTGCTGCTCCAGATTGGCGCGGACCCAGCCGACGTCAAGCCTTACTCTGTCAGGCGCGGGGGCGCTACTCACCATTTTTCGACGCTGGGCAACATGTCGCTCACTTCTGAACGTGGGCGCTGGCGCTCAAAGAACATGGCAAAAATCTACATTACCGAAGCCATGGGGCACTTGGAGCGCACGCGCGCGACCCATCACAACCAGGCCCGGCTAGACAGAGGCCTTCGGAAACTCCATTATTGTCTCGGTCGCCTCCGGCATCACGGGTAGGGTGGAGGTCTACGCAGAGTCTGTTTACATAATCGCCTTCGGCATGCAGGTGTCGGCGGAGATAGACCTCGCAGCTCCGCCAAACCAGTTTTGGCGAGGAGAGAAATCCCTCTCTTTTGAGCCGCTGTCCTTTCCAGCCAGGCCTCAGCGGCTGGTGCTTTCCGCCTGAAAAACAGGCGAGATCTCTCCAGCCATGGTGGCTGAGGCCTGAGGGTTTCACGACGTGCTTCGCGTCGTGCTGCGAGGTGTGTGGGGGGGGGGCGCCTCTGACACGACTGCGGTGCGCGCCTGCGCCAGCAGAAATGCTGCATCATCGTATTCACGATCAGAGCTCGATCGAACCACATGTTACCCCTGTGGAGGCACCCCCCTGTGTTGGTATTGGTGCCCATTCCCAGGCCTCCAACTCCTCCCACCGTCGGCAGGCCAGTGGTTACAGGGCTGCACCGCGAGACTCAGACCTTCGACGCCATGGCGTTCGTTGCGACGTGGGCCTCCATAGCCCCGACCTCTTCCCCGTGAAGGGCTGTGGATCCGGGGTCGCCTTTTCATTGGCCCAGGGCCCGAAAGTCTAGGCCTCCCAGATGGGGTCCGAGTAGATGGGGTCAGAGGATCGCGCCGAATGGCCGATGCATCGGTGATGCGGCTCGATGTGGAGTCCGATTTTCTCCACGCCGACGTCGCCGATGCACCGCCGATGTCGCCAGTGCTTCGCCAAAGCATCGCCGATGCATCGGCGATGCATCGGCGATGCGGCGCGATCCTCCGACCCCATCTACTCGGACCCCATCTAGGCGGCCTCCAGAAATTGGCCGCTTCCGAGGGTCCAAGCGAGGGCTGGTTTTTTGCTGAGGACGCTGAAGCTCTGAGTCTCCGAACGCCTCCAGAGGCCCAGAAGAGGAAGGAGAACGAAAAAGCTCGATATTAGTTGCCTCTTCTCCTCCCACCGTCGCCTGGTCCAGCGGTTCCGGCCCCCCCCACCACCGTGTCAGCGCCACCGAGATGGGTTCTTTGCAGCGTACGGGAAGGTGGCTCGAAAGTGGCAGGAAAGCGCCAGCGTCGTGAAGGAAGCGACACGTTCCTGCATCACCCCGAGCGTGGGACCCTTCCATGGCCCATCACGAGTGGCGCTGACCCTTGCACGAGGCGCGAGCCCACATGGTTACCAAGACCTCCGGCACCGTGCGGCTCTCGATGGACACAATATTCCGGAACGCCGCGAGACACGGCATCGTCGTGACCCGCGATGGGCGCTGATTGCCCGCCGTTGGCCATCCGCTTCGCGATCCGGCGGCCCTGAGAACCTCCTTCGAGGCTCGAGGATCAAGGGTGTTTGGACGTATTTGATTGGCCTCTCCAAAACTCGGAGGGAGCTTCCCTGACCGATCCAGAGGAAAGGAGCCCTTCCTTGTTCCTCTCTCTGCCCGTCCGCCCTGAGTGTTTCCTCCCCCTCCTCCTCGTCCTCTTCCTCCTCCTCCTCCTCCTCCTCCTCCTCCTCCTCCTCCTCCTCCTCCTCCTCCTCCTCCTCCTCCTCCTCTCCTCCTTGTCCTCTCCTCCTCCTCCTCCAGGTCCTCGTCCTCCTGCTCCTAATCTTCCTCCCCCTGTTCCCACAACTCCATCCATGTTTTTTCTCCGCCCTCCTGGTCATCCTTCCTCCCCCTCCTCATCCTCCTCCTCCTCCTCCTCCTCCTCCTCCTCCTCCTCCTCCTCCTCTTCTAACCCTCGTCCTCCTCCTCTTCGTCGTCCTCCTCCCCCTTGCACACAGCAGTTCTGGCTCAGGCTCCTGAGCTTCCAAGCGCGTGCTTCAGAACCGTTCGCGCTTACGGGATGTTCTTCACGTTTCGCACGGATGGTCTTTCCAACACATGTTTCGGCGGGCCCTGCGCTTCTTCGGGGGTGCCGAAGCGGCTGCTACGACAATCGGGCGTCGCGCGCCACCTGTTGCGAATGCGGGACGAACGCGCCCAGCAAGGTCATCAATTCGGCGAATGGCAGCGGCGACAGCCAAGGTGCCTCGACCCGCTTCGGACGAGGACCGCAGGGCGAGTGGCCCAACGGCGCGCCTTCGCCTGGCGACCTCGACCTGGCGCGGCCCACCAACGCTCTCCAAGTCCAGGTTGCCAAACTGTCGCTGTCGGGTGTGTTCACTTCTGCTGGACAGTCTCCGCCATGAAAGCCTAAGAGTACGGGCGGGAGCGGCACCGCGGACTTCAAGGTGCGATGCGCGCATCAAGGATCGACACCGCGGCCATCGCTGCAGTGGAGGCAACAGAAGGAAGGCGACGGAAACCAACCACCTTTTGCGCAGTCGGTTCGATGGAAATGTGGCAATTTCCAAGAGAAGGTCGGCAACCTTGAGCGGCGGGCGCCCACCATCCAAGAAGAGAAGACCAAACTCGATTCAGAGTTGGTTTATTTGCACAAGTCAGTCGACGTGTCCCGGGAGGGGCCCACCAAGGCCGCCTAGGCGCCGTGCAAGGCACAGGGGTCCGAGTTCAAGAGACCGATGAAGGTCGTCTCGACCAGCTTAGGTGAGGGCGTTTTGGAAGTCAAGGGGGGCAGAAAACGCCCGAGGCCATACAGCGCCTGCACAGCGACGCCCTGCGCAAGGCCAAAACAGACGCTGAGACAGCAGACCAACCAGCAACACCTGCGGCGGGAGGCGGCCAAACGGCGCCAGCGGCACCGCCAGCGCCCGCCGAGTCTGCGTCAGTGCCCATGGACCTTCAGATTCTGACGATGCTGAGTTTCACGCTGGCCTCGGACCCGCTCTTGAGGAAGGCGAGGGAGACACAGCCAGAGTCGCGGCCCCCATCGCTGCTAAGTCATCCAAGATACCACGGCAAGGTCACGCGATGGCGCAGGGCATCTTCCGAGGACGCGCGGGCCCAGACCTTCAAGCACTTCAGCAACCGCGTCGTTGTCAACGGGGCTCGGTGCTGGGACATCAGCGCCAGTCAGGCGTCGGGCAGGCAACCTTGCCCCCCACCCCCCACACGCACACACACACACACAAATACACGCACGCACGCACGCACGCACGCACGGACGGACGCACGCACGCACGCACGCACACACACACACACACACACACACACACACACGCACACACACAGTCACACACAGTCACACACACACACAGTCACACACACACACACACGCACGCACGCACACACACACACACACACACACACACACTGTGCCCAACGCGGGTGCTGACTAAGGATAGCTCATGAACACACACACACTGTGCCCAACGCGGGTGCTGACTAAGGATAGCTCATGAAGGTGCTGACCAAGTTGTCATTTGACGAGTACCGGGGCTAATGCCAGTAGCTGGGGATCCGCTGGCTCTGTCTTGAATTGGATTCAAGATCGGGCCCAAGCGGACCGGGGGGCCCCATGGAGGCTCGACCGAGATGTCGCCAAGTTCCAAGTCCTCGCTTTCCCGGAGATTCGCTCGCAGCGCCAGGGCGAGCTCGCGAAAGCCCAGAAGCAGGCCCTTCGCAACGGGCACAAGATCGCGCTAGGATGACTTGGGAGTACAGGCACAGGGCCCCTTTCACTGCCCAGGATGCGTCGGCGCGGTCGCCAAAGGGCCTTCGGCCCCTCTGCGATCTTGCTTCCAGATGTCAAGGGGAAGGCGATCAAGGGTCGGACCCTGGACTTCGATATCCCGGAGGGGCCGGAGACCTTCTGCGCCAATCTGGCGAACGACATGGGCGCGGGGGGGGGGGCGGGCGATCAAGGCATTCGACATTCCAGGCGCGACCCGTTCGCGCAGCCGCAGAGCGCGCGCGGGGGGGCGCTGGGCGCCACTGCAATCTCAACGTCGCCCCCCGACAGCTGCGCGCGCGATGTGCAAGCGATCGCCCGCTGCCCGTCGCTCCCACAGTCCGCCACCAAGTCACGTTTGAGCCCGTGGACGCCACTATCGCGGGGCGCTAGCAGGAGCCTCAGGAAGATGAGTGGGTTAATCCGCTCTGTCTGGATATTTGGCCCCTGGCTTGGCAGCGGTTCTCGAGGGCCAGAGAGGTTCGTCCTGGGCCGCGGCGCCGAAGACGCCGCGAAGTCGGGTTGCTCGGCCGGGCTCCGCAGTCGGCCACTAGCCGTCGTCGCCCATCGAGCGGGATGTCCGCCGATGGCATTCGCCGAAGACGCGGGCATGGGCGGCGCTTGCATCGCCGGCAATGGAAGCCCGAGCTCTCGTCCGCGGCCGGCCTCGTTCCAAGGGGTTCCACATGCTGACGCACTGCGCATTTCCAACCGTGACGAGCGCGAGCTCGACGCCCTGAGGCCGCGGGCCATTTGTTTTCGCCACGATTGGGGGCGGGCGCGAGTGAGCCTCGGGCGCGCGGAGACCCGCGGGCGCGGAGGTCAGTCGCCGCCCGAGGCTGGGCGCAGCCCAGACTCAGGGACTGGAAGGACGGGGTCATGGGAATCATTTGGACGCGGGGGCACAGTCACCCGCGCCGTTTCGAAGCTGGAGGCGCCAAGGCAGTTCGTTGCAGGCGGCGGCTCGAGACGCGGCGCCAGCCGCGCGCCGCACGATGGGCGAGAGGCGCATTTCAGCATGTCGAAGATACCTGATGGAGACCCAGAAGAACCCGCGTTGAGCTTCGTGGAGACAGAGGGCCCGCATGAAGCACGGGGCCTTGCACGCCCAGGTCGGGACGGCTTTCGCCCGAGATGGGCGGCGGAGCTAGAGTCGGCGGCCCGGGCTTCTCGCAGCTTTTGACTTGGGCCCACCGGCCCTCGCGGCGACCATGGCGAGCGCCGTATTCCTGGACGCGCCCGCAGGGGGGGGGGGAAGGGCTCGAGCCCATCGGCCAGCCGTGTTTCTCCATGAAGATACGGGGTCAGGCGAGGCGACCCCCCGCGCAAATGGCGGGAGAAATCGCGCGCTGCCGATTTCCCCCTGGAGCCAGGTCCAGATGCCACTTGAGAGCGGGCAGGTTGGCCCGCGACGTTCTGGGGGCCCGCGAAGCAGGCGCTGGTCACCCGGGCGCCAGCTCTCCTCGATCTAGTCGGGCCCCATGCGATCGTCGCGCGCGGGGTTGCCTGACGGCGGCGAAGAGGTTTGAGTTTCTAGCGCGTTAGCGTCGAGGCCGATGCCGCGTTCACGCCGACCGCTGCGCGCGCCGCTATGGCGGGGCAGCTTCGGAGGCCATTGTCGCGAACGGCGCGACCGTCGCCGTCTGCTCGGCAGCCGCGACAATTGCTCGCGCGCTGTCCCTTTGCGCTCTGCTGCGCTCGTCCTGACGCGCGCGAGCGCCGCCAGTCGCCGCGCGTTCGTTGCGAGGTCAACGGCGACGCCCGTTCGAGCGCAAATCCTCGCGCCATCTGTCTGGTTCGCGCGGGCGCCCTCAGCCGACGCGCGTTCGCAGCTCGCCCGGCGACGTCGCATCGCACGAGCTGCAAGTCAGCGTATCAAGTTGCAAGGCAACGAGCTGCAGGAGCGACATTTCTGATTCGGTCTCTCCGAGACCCCGAGTTACCAGTCGAGCGCGAGCAGCGCGCGTGCTTTGGCTCCGGGGAGGTCGATGTGCACCAGCAGCAGCGCGTGACCTTGCCCAGATCATGCCGCGCGGACACTGCGCGGGCACTTGGGGCTAATTCTTCCTTTGGGGGACCGTGTAGAATAGGCGTCCACAGCGCCGGACTCTCGGCGTCGTCGGCAAGGGCCTAGCGGCCCAAGATCAGCCGGGCGGCTGGCGCCGGTCCAAGTCTGACGCATTGGACATGGCCGACGGCGGCGGCCCCCCTGGGGCGCGAGCGTCTCGGGTGCACCTCCTACGAGCATGGCCGACCCTCGGGCGTCCGCGGCCAGCCATCCTGGAAGGCTCCGCGCGGGGGCGTCTGCGGGGCCCCGCATTTGTTCACCCATGGGCCCAGGGCCAATGACGAGCCCATCTTCGCTTGTTCGGGGCGCGTGGTCTTCGCGTTGGCTACGGCGGTCTGGGGAGGAGCTCCGAACACTGGGCTTGCGCGGGGCACCGAGGGCAGGCGTTCCAGAAGTTTCAAGATGTCACTTGCCCGCGTGCACGTAGCATGCGCAGGGGTGTGCGTAACTGCAGCGCCATCAGCAATGACGCGGGCATTGCGCTCATCTCGGGCTGGCCCAGGTGTAAATCTGCGACGCGGTTGGCACGGAGGCCCGAACGACGAGCGTTGGGCCTTCGAGGTGGCCCCGATGCTCCACCCAATTGCCCTCTCTTCTGGGTTGGAATATGTAGGCCTGTGTTCTTGGAGTAAACATCATCAGCGGTGCTCCCAGGGGCTGGCGGGCATCGCGCACCGCCCGCAGTCTCGCTTGTCCGCGAGCAAGTTTTATCTTGCGCAGCGCTGCCAGATTTGTCGAGGCGCTTCTGGCGCCCCAGCACCGACAGCATGAATTTCCAGCGAATGCTGCTTTCCGACAAGACCACGCAGGACGCAGGTCGATGAGACTGGCCCAGAATGTCCACCGACCTGGGGAGACTACGGGTGGAACGTTTGCCAGAGAAGTGCTCCCTGACCCTCCGAGTCGTTTTTGAATCGAGAGCCCCGCCGCGACCTTGTTTTGGGGAACAAACCCCAGGTCGGAGTCTTGTCGGGGCCGCTCTGTCCAGACGGTTCTTCGAAGTCATCGGGCCTCGACGGGCTCAGAGAAGAGGGGCTAAGCCATCGTCGCTGTCGACGGTTCCGGGTAGATTTTCCACGAAGTGTGCGCCCCCCTTTCCCTTGGGCGCTGCCCTGGACCAAACACGCAAAGATGGGAGGGGGGACCATGCTGAATATATGATCCCGGGTCGAGGTTTCACAGCCCTCCCCAGATGGGATGGGCCCCAGTGAACACAGGCCCCCTCCCCCCAGATGCCTCGCATCGCTCGGACGTGTGCATTTGTTCTCGGCGAGGACCAAAAAAACAAACACGCACGAAACCGAGAAATGCACGGGGAATGGACGTCCGAACGATGGCAGGGATGGGATTGGGGGGGCGACGACGCCGACGCAAACGCCAACGCCGACGGATGGCGACGACGACGACGACGACGATGACGACGACGACGACGACGACGACGACGACGACGACGACGACGACGACGACGAACCATCCCACACCCACAGGGAGAGAGAAGGGGGCGCACCGGCACCGTCCACCACGCCACGCCCACGGGGCCACGACCACAAGGGGGGAACGATTCCTTTCGCGAGGCCTTCGCGAGGCTCGCGGGCGCACCCATTCAGAGGTCGGGGGCCGTCGATCCCATATGCAGCGGGGGTGGGCAGGGGGGGGCAATCCTGGATCACATATGCTCACACAGCTTGGTTTTCCTCTGCTTCAGTTTTACATCGACCGCGCAACGCCCAGTGGCATCGACGCGGGTCGGTTCGCCCACTGGGAAGGAAAAGCCAACGATGCAGCGGGCGAATTCGCTGAGGCTGGAGTCGGCAAGCACGGCGCCGCCAGTGGCCATGCCAGTTTTTCCCGAGGGCTCCGCAGCTGGACCCTCGAGGCAGGGCGTCGGGCAAGTCATTCCGCAGTTTCGATCGCTGGGGCTGAGGCTCGCGACGCGGAGGGGCCGGTTGTGCCACCAGCTGGACCAGGCGAGCCGGCGCTAGCCGGCGGCGACGCCAAAGGCTCCCAGGCACCGCGCGAGGACGCGGGGCCACCCCCAGGGGGTTGGGGCAATTCTTGGGGGGCAGGTGGGATGGGTTTCGCTCGCATTGTTTGCAGCGTCCAAAGACGCGCCTTCCTATCTTCGCCTGTCTGCGCCCCCACGGAAAACACCATTGAGAGAGTAAGTTTGCGATGCAACTGAGGGCTTTTGACCAGCGGAGGTTCTGCCGATGAAGCCTTCAAGGGTGCTTACAATGTACTGACGGGTGGAACGGGCGGCCCAGCCGACCAGCCCCGTCGAACTCGCCAGCTTAAGTTCATGTCTGACACGAAGGAGCGAAAAGACCTGACCCTCGGGGTTCCAAGGGGCTTGGAAGTTGCCGAGCGCAGGGACTGAGCTGAGACGCCTGGGGGCGACGAGGTCAGGTCTGCCTGGGCACAATTTCGCGCCTTCTGGTGGTGCCCCTAGCGGGCAAATGGTGGAGCAGCTCGGGTTGCCAGAAGATGACCAAGAGAGGGTCCGAGCTTCGGGGGCATCTTCGACGCGAGCCACGCCCCTCCTTGGAAAGGGGTCGGACTCAGGGGTGTCGCGTGAGCACACCTGCTTGTTGTTAGGCGCGCCGCCAGCCAAACAAATTCCTCCTCTTGCACCTTCACAGGACGTCTTGTATCCAGCAGGCACGCAGGCGATACTAGATCCTCCCATGACAGATTGAGCGTCTGGAAAAAATGGTGGGCGGCTCCTACCTTACCTCTAAAGCAAGGGGGAGAACGAGAACGGAAGTTGTTCACAGGGCTTCAATGGCAAACGCTAGCGACACCGGCACTGTGATACACATCCGTCCGTGAGCCGCAATGGCAGCGGGCCGGATGGTTCCCGGACGCGGGTTGCTCCATGGTGCACGAAGTCAGTGTGTACAGGTTCCGAGAGTACCCGAAAAGACCCCAGGCGGGCTTCAAACAGGACCCAGGAGGATAGTCAAGCGTACACTCAATCAGTTCAGGCGCCAGGAGATCTTCTCGGAAACAGAAGTTAATTATGATTGTGTCTGGGGGGCATCAAAGGGTTACGAACCAACTATCATTCCAAGCAGTGGGATGAAATTGAGTAGTTTAAACGCGAGGAGGCTTACGAGTGATCCTGCATGTGCGAATTCTCCGCTACGCTACGACGCTGCGTCGCAATCACACTCAAACTTCACAGACATCTAGAAGAGGCAAAATCGCCAACACTGGTTTTTTTTTTCTGAGGCTGCCCGTTGCCGTGTCTTCGGCCACGTGGGGTTCTCGGACCCGCTTGCACAGCGGCCCACTGGTACCAGCTCTATTGTCATTCGGCATGTTTGTGTGCAGCTTGTGCCACGGCGTGTGATGAGTTGCCGATGCGGCCTGAGGGAACGCGTCGACGTTGACTTGAACCGCAATGATGTAAGATGCTGCGGCTCATTCGAGACGTCCCCCTGGCACTCCCGCAGGGAACGTCTCCCCCACCGCATGTTTCCCCCTCCGATGTTGCCAGCTCAGTCGGCCTGCGCTGCTGCCCTGCGGCGCGCAAACTGCACCAGCTGCGCGCTTTGGGTACTCCAGATTTCGTAATAAAGGGAGGGGGGTCTCATTTCGGGGGGGGGTCTCTTCCAGGCTATCTTGGAGGGCCTGGGTGGGTCTGGGGACGATGTTTTGGAGGGTTCTCCCACGGGGGGGGTCTGAAATGGCTTGTCTTGGAGGGTCCAGACCCCCTCCCTTTTATTACGAAATCTGGAGTAACAGTCCCCCCGCGTGTCGGCGAGCACAGGCCCACGGGTCGCTTTGAGGCAGCGGCGTGGAACGAGGGCGCTCTCTCCGTTGCCCACGCTCCTCGCCCTCCCTGCCTGCGCGCCCGGCTGGTCTGCGCCGGCGCGGAGCCCTTGGTCAACAAAGCAGACGATGACGAAGAAGACGAGGAGGACGACGACGACGAAGACGACGACGACGACGACGATCTCGCCGTTGACGACGAAGAGAACGACCACGATAGCAAACGACAACGACACGGACGACGACGAAAACCACGACCAGTGCTCGCCTCGCGGCGACGGGGAGCAAAGACCGGCATGCGGGTGCACAACAAGGTGCACAACGGGCAACAGGTGCAGCTCGCTGAAATTCGGTGTTCCTGCCTCGTCCCCCTCCCACCCTCGACCTCCAACGTGGTGTTTCTGTTGACGGCGCAGGCCCAGGGATTTGTTGATCTCATCTCCGGGGCTGGTGTTTCGTCGTGGGCAGCTCTTGTTGCGGCCCCCGAGGTCCGAGATGGCCCCCAGCCGCCGAGGTGGGCACGAGTCGCCCGTCGTGTTTTTTCCTCGCGACGCCTAGGTGCCCGGGTCCTCCTCTTCCTTCCCCTCTCTCCAAGCGCGCGTCTTGGCCAGCCAAGTGGAACGAGCAGCCTGGGGCCCGCCTTGGGGCGGGACGGCGGCACTGCGGCTCCAGAGCTCCGGCCCTGATGCCCCTTCATCATGGAGGGCTCCAGAATTGGTGGGGGTCAAAGCAGGGGGGGGGGTCGGAGCGACTGCCTCCCTCATCTCCCTCCTCACCCCCTTCATCACCCCCCTCCTCCCTCCCATTGGGGGGAGGCCGATCATACACCAGCACCGCTCCTCGCCAGGCCACTCCTGGGCCCGGGGTGGGTTCGGCAGGATCGAGACACCTCACCGACGCCTTGTTTTTCATACGTGCCCCTGGCCCTATCGACCGCTTCCCTCGAAGCACCTGACTATCAGGGACTATTGTTTGATGATCAGAAAAAAACACGCTGTTGAAGGCCGACATTGAGGAACCACGTTGGCACTTTTTTCATACTTTCAAACGCAAACACACACACACACACACACACACACACACGCATGCAAAGACACACACACACACGCGCACACACACTCACACAAACACATACACGCAAAACCACGTCGGCTGTCTCGGTCGGTGTGTATTTGAGCAGATGGAAAATGTCGTTGAACTGCAACTGTTTCGCATTGCATGCTTCATGGTCGCGGAGGGTGCGCGGCTACGGACGCGATGAGCCCTTGCTCGATGGCAGGTGGTCTCTGCCGATCGATTTCGGCCTCTGTGGCTCTTTCGGGGCGGCCGAGAATTGGTCCCAGAGACGCGGTCGAGAGCCCCGAGGGTCCCACGTCGCGCAGAGACCACGACGTCGGAGACTTGGGGAGGGGGCTGCGGTAATTAGTTTCGTGCAGCCTCACCGCCGCGGCGGCACGATTGCAGGCATGAAGGTTTCATCGGGCTCTGGAGCTGACACTGGAAAGCCCGCGGCGCGAAATCCACAGGAAAGACGGCGGCGTTTCCTGTCCCTGCGTGGTTTTCGGGCCTCGGTTCTGTTCGGCCGGTCCCTCCGCCTCTCGTGTCTGCTCTGGCCCTCGCTACGTGTCGTTGTCGGGCCCTCGTCGGTCCATCGTCGCTGTGCGACTGCCTGGGACTTAGCGCGTGACCCTAACACACGTCCACAACAAGGATGGCGTCGACGGATTCCCAGGACGCTCGGCAGCAGAGATCGCCGAGGGTCGGGAGTTTTGGCGCGGCGACGGGCGCCGAAGCCCAGAGGCAGGCGTGGCAGGAGGCCGCCGCGGGGGAGGAGAAGAGAAGGAGGAGGAGGAGGAGGAGGAGGAGGAGGAGGAGGAAAAGGAGGAGGAGGAGGAGGAGGAGGAGGAAAGGAGGAGGAGGAGGAGGAGGAGGAGGCAGGAGGCCGCCGCAGGGGAGGAGAGGAGGAGGAGGAGGAGGAGGAGGAGGAGGAGGAGGAGGAGGAGGAGGCCCCCTGCTGTGACCCCCTTGTGAAGCCTTCTGCGCCTGAACGCGCGGCCGGATATGTCGCCCCGCGCGCGGCGCTGGGTGGACGGCGATTCGGAGGGGTCGTGTTGCCGAGCCGAAAGAGGTAGTGGCACAAAAGGGCTCACGGCGGCACAGCGCCTGGGGAGGAGGACCCAGACCTCCAGCGCCCGGAGATGAGACGGAAGGATGCTGTTCGTGACGTCCGCCCTCATGGGGCCGTCTTCTCCGCTGAACATCCCGATTGCGTTGTGCAGTGTGCTCTGCCGCCATGGTGTAATTGAGAGGGGAGGCCACAGCGCTCTCTGCGCTTTGAGCGCCGCGTGTCATCCGCTGTGACTGGAAGGCTGTCGGGGACTTCTTGGAGGCGTCTGGCGCTCTCTCGGGTCCGTCTTGAGACGCTCTGAGGACGTTCTGACACTGTTCACAAGTCTTGTGGGCCTACGCACAGCAGGCCATACGCCGGGACCGTCTCTTCAAAACGAGGACCCAACATCACAGGATGGCCGGGGGGGAAATCAGCCTCGCGAAGGACCCAACCATATGCAGTTGCGAGTACCGCAATTGTGAATATCTTCTTCGGTGGCGCTCCCTTGGGGCCACGGACCGAAAGAGGGGTGCGCCGAATTGCATGGCGGGGTACACAACACGAACGAAGACGATAGGTCTTATTACGAGAGATTTAGCGCGGGTGAGTCTGAGCGCGAGTGAGTCTGAGTGTGAATGAGTCTGCGTGCGAGTGAGTTGTTTTGCACGAATGCGAGCATGATCACGCCTGCAGCGGCGGCCACGGGAGCCGACGCCGCGCGATGGACCAGGCGAGACCGAGGCGAACCCAGCGGGGCTGGGGCGCCACCCCCAGCCCCTCCGCTTCCATGCCCGCCGCCAGGCAAGACGCGGTCTGTCTGCCTCGTGGACGTCGGTCGCTCCGCGAAACGGGCCAGGACTGAACCCGAGAACCCAGGACCGAGCCAGGGAAAAGGAGGCTGACCACCGCCGTGGCCCCTCTGACCCCGCCATGGCATGCCCGCGCCCGGCGTTGCTTAATAACGTGGCAAGCCTGGACACCGGCCAGCTTTCACGGCAGCAGCTAACCGACGTCATTTGGCACCTCCGACAGCTGGGCTTCGCTGCGGACCAGATCTACAGGGCCGACTGCCACTCCCACCCGCGCCCCTCCCCACCCCCCGCTTACGACGTGGACTGCCAGGAAGAACGATTGTTTCGGGACTTCATTGACTTGTTCTGGCCAGACGGTTATGTCACGCCGACCCCTCAGCTGGCTCGAGCGACCTGGGACACTGACCAGTACGTCCTGGGGCACGCAGCGACCCGCTTTGACCAACGCGGGCCTTTCGCATCTGAAGGCTGCTGAAGCCTTTCGGCCAGGGATTCCGGTCCAGCACGTAGTTACGCAGTTGTTGACCACGCCCGCCGGCTGCGCACGGACACAGCCGCGTCGCGTTCATACATGGGCAAAGGAGCGGGCCCCCAACGAAGGCCCCCAGCAGCGAGCATGGATCCCATAACTGGCCCCAAACGGAATGCGCCAGTTCCCTGATGTCCGTCTACGGGGATCGCGCGCCAGAGGATTTCCTCATCTGAGGTGACGCCAGGGCCCGTGCGCCACTTCAGATGAGGACCTGGGACTACGAGCAGAGCACTGCAGCATCTGGTTGAGGTTAAGGGCAACGTCACGGAGCGGGGGGGCCAGATATGGTCGAGAACGCACCCAGAATTGGACAGTCCAAGAAGGGCACCAAGAAGAAATGCACGGCCACTTCCACCTGACCGTCTGCGGGCACCGGCGGGGCGGCTCATTCGCCGATTTCCGCCCGCGCGACATGGGCATAGCTGGCGCCGCCAAAAACAAGGGCGCCCCGCAGGGTGCCCCTGCCGAGGCGCCCCGTCGGGCATGCCGCCCGCGCCGCCGCCGCCGCCGCCCCCCGTGAAACAGGCCGCTGGGCTGCTGAACGGCCCGGCCCGGAGGTCCTTGCCGACGGCCATGACAGCCCCACCCACTCCCCCGCCCGCGACCCACGTCGGGGGCAGCGCCGACAATTGCGAGCCCGCGGCCCCGGCCCGCGCCCCCGGGCGCCCCCGCTCTCCCGAGCCCGAGCGACCTCGAGCGCGTCAGGGCGAGCCGTTAGTCCGAGGCGCGACCCTGGCGGACCTGGGCGCAGGGGCCGCCCAGCCGGCCCCACTCCCTGACGAACGCCGCTCCTCCAGTAGAGACGCCAGACCCAGACCCAGAATGTCAACCACGCTGGAGCCCAGAAAGCGCCCGCGCGAGTGAGCAGCAACCAGATCCCTTCACCACCCGCGAGTCCGACGACGAGCCGGCGCGCGCGCGCACCAGAGACACTTGGCAATACCAGGGATCCCGAGGGGTCGGCAGGACTGGGGCCCCCGCCAGACCTCGCGGCTCCAGGGCTACAGGTCTGAAGCGGCCCAGCACTCAGAGCGGCCCGCTCCCCCCAACCCGTGCAAGCGGCCTCTCAACGCCACGTCCTGGGCTCGTGAAGGGCGGGGGTCGGCCCGGGCGGACGAAGCGCGGCTGCCGTCACGTGGTGCCCAGAGCGTGGCACGCATAGCGCTGGCACCCGGGCGTGGCCCCCGACCGCCGCACCGATGCCACGGACCCCTTCTGCAGATCCTCGGACGACGCAGACACGTTCCTCGCAGATTCGGCCGCAGCACGAAACGACGCGACCCTGTGAGCGGAGAATCCGAACATCCGACTTGATCGGGACGCCGCACGGAGGTCAACGGGAGGCAGGGCCAAGCAGAGGGACACCGATACCTGCAAAGGCCCAGGGAAGGGCACAGCAACAGGCTCCCATGACGCCGTGCCCCGACCGCACTGGGATCGCAACGCGAGGAGCCGCTACGATTGCACGAACTGGTTTCCCCGCGGTCCCCGGTGGCTCTCACACCGCCTAGTGCTTGTACCGGCCACCCGACCTGGCCGCGCTTGAGCCTCGTACTCGCATCATCTTCTCATCTGCTTCATCTCTTATCCTCCCTGGATTGATTCGGCTTCCCCCCCCCCTGGTCTCCCTCCTCGGTGTTGCTCTCTCCCTGCCCGCCCCTGCTTCCCCGCCTCTCCCCATCTCCCCCCTCTCCCCCGCCAGCGCCGCCATGGCGCTGACTCGCCGGCCCCGGCCGCCCCGCGGAGGCCTCCTCCGCGCCTCCCTCGAGGAGCTCTTCGACGAGTGTGTCCGCTCTTCCTGGAACCTGGCACTCGAGCCGCTGCCCCTTGGCCCCCGGCTGTTCGAGCCTAGTGCCTGGCGTCATTGCCGGGTGCGGCCTTGGGCCCTGGATGCCCACTTCTGAACTGCCAGCGCTGACGCTTTCCTGGTTTGACGGACCCGTGGATTCGTTCATCCAAGCGTTCTGATCCGCCCGATTCGTCCAGCACGGGTGGTGCCTGGCCGCTCTTCTTGTTCGGCCTCTCCCTCAAGTGCCAATCGCGCTTACCCGCGGCGCCGCCTGAGTCTGCTCTTCCCTCTCCGAGACCGCCCTGTCCAAGTTCCTCGTGTTCCCTGATCAGGACTACCTCTACAAGCACGCCATGTCCTGTCCCGGGACTACCTTCGCCTGGTCGCGGGCTCTCAGCACTGCTGCAAGGTATTCCATTCACGGTCTCCCCCTCTATGCGGCTTCCACGTGGCTGCACGGCCCCCGCGCGCCCGCGAAAAAACTACATGTTCTGACCAGCCTCCTTCTGTTCCGCCCCTCCGGTCTTCCCGCGCCGTCGTGCCTCAATTCGCGTCGATGCGCCCCGCCGTTTGCTTGACCGACGCCTGCTCGCTTGCGTCCGTGGGGCAAAAAGTTCGCCGGGAGATTGTCCGTAGCGCGCGTGGGCGACCCGCGTGCACTTGCGTGGCATTGCGCGGTGTATGCGCTGGCCACCGTCGAAGGTCAATTGAGCGTGCCCCGCCGCATCCATCCCTCCCGTTTCCTCGACAGGCTCGCAAACCTTCCGGGGCCTGCGATCGCCCCGTCGCTGGTAGACACAAACACGTCGCGCGTCTTCAGCACGCAATCGTGTTGCTTCGGGGGCGTCTGGCATTTACGAGTGCGCAAACGAAGTGCGTAGCTGAGTTTGTTCGAGCGTTGCCCTCTCCTGCCCGTTCTCTCTTCGTTTAGTCCACCTCTTGGCCAAAAAAGCCCACCGCAAATATGTGATGTGCGTGTCTGCGTGCGGGTGGATGGAGAATGAGGGAGGAGAGGAATAGGGCTGACAGGAGGAGTGGACGACACGAGGAGGGTAGCAGCGTTGAGAATTGGCAGGGGGAGGGAGGATAGGAGGAGTTGGAGGGGGGCGGGTTTTTGTCAAACCCTGCGCGGTTTCACTGCGTTCGTCCAGAGGCTGTACCTTGCCAGTTAGTCCTTTCGTTTCTTCAATTCCTGGCTGGCATTGCAAGCAGCGCGCCGGCAGGAACGATTGCGGCGGGCGATACATTTCAAGGAGACCTATTGGCCAACGTCGGGGAGATTGCAAGAGCGAGTGATGCATGAATAGTGTGTTGTCTGGGTGAGGAGTCAGCTTGCAGGGATATCGGGAGCATGATCTGAATGAGGAACAAGAGGTAGAGCACAGTCGCAAGACAGGGAGCTTGAAGGAAACGCCAGAAGGATTGACCAGGTGGTGGCGCTTTCCAGCAACACATGTAACAATTGAAGCTGGAATTCTTGACCCACTCCAGGGCCTCCTGGACCTCCCCTCAGCCGCTCAAAACAGCCTGGGTCCTCCGTGGCGCCAGCCAGGAAGCCGGAAGAGGGCACGAATAGACGACAAGAGATTCCCGACGGGGCCCAGGGGCAGCACGAAGATCCCCAAGACAGCTAAAGACGGCCCAGCAAGTCCCCGAGACGGGCCCAAGGGGGCCGAAGAGGACCCCTCAGACGCCCCGGGGAGGCAAATTTATTGTTGTTCCTCTCTTACAGTTGTTGCATGATGTTCCTATTCTCGTGTTTCTGGTCCTCAGGGCGCCCAAGACTGGCCAGGACTCCCCAAAGATGGCCCCAAGATTGCCAAAACGTCCCCAAGAAGGCCCCAAGAAGAACACACGACGGCCCGAGAGGGGCCCACGATGGCCCACGAGAGCCCCAACAGAGCCCCGCCCAAGGAGCTCCTAGAGGGGCTCAAAATGGTCCCAAGACGGCTTCAGAGACCGTCAAGACGGGCCGGGAAAGTCACGCGAGCGGAAATAAGAGCGCCCAGAAGATCCGGCAATGGGGCGTCTGGGCCGTTGCCCTATGCAGAGGACACGAAGAGACCTAAACACTCGGCGTCGTGCCTCGCGGCACTGTGGCGGATCCTTTGAACCAGAATTTGGCTACGCAGTAACCCTGGATATTCTATATGTGGATGGCACACTACTAGTCTCACGACACCATGCGAATCTTCAGGCTATATGAAGCGCCATCGTGGAAGAAGGACACCATTATGTGTTGTTTAACATTGTGGCAACACGGCACCCCTGCGAATGTCAACAAACACTAAATCTACGATGCCAGATGGCAGCGATATGAAGACAGTGCGAGATGCAGCATATACTGGAGTATCCAAAGTATTATAAGGAGCTACTAAACCATCAAGCAACTCGAAAAAGGTTGGCCGCGCCCTTCTCCTGGACAGAAGCAATGTCACAAGATCTACGACAGCGTGGCTTTGACATTACTTAAATCAAGAGGATTGCGCCATTTCGCCGACCTCCAGAAGAGAAAGAGAGTTCTGTATGATCGCAGAAGCCATTCGGACCCTTGGGCCTGTCTACATTGGTTCGTACGGGTAGTTTCGGAGCCTCTTAGGGGGCCTCTTCAAGCCTCTGGGGGTTGTCGTGGGCGCCATCTGGCGGTCTCGAGGGTCCTCTTGGGGCGGAGAGCTCGAAATCTCAGTTCGACCTACCCCTCCTGCGCCCCTCTTGTGGCTCTGTTGGGGCCCTTTGGGGCCGTCTGGAGCGTCTCTTGGACTGTCTTGGGAACCTCGTAGACCGTCTTTGGGCTTTCTCGAGGGCTTCTTGGGCCGTCTTGGAACGCTGTTGGGGCAATCTGGAGCTGTCTGGGACGCGTTAAAATGAAAAGGTGAATATGCTCGACATGTAGGTTGACCTGCGTGTTTCGCACGATGTGTCTCTACCCTCTTTGAGGCGTGGATTCGCTTCGCCCCGGTCTCGCTTCGCCCTGCTCGCTTCGCCAGGCTCGCTTCGCCCGGGCTCGCTTCGCCAGGCTCGCTTCGCCCAGCTGACTTCGCCCGGCTCGTTTCGCCCGGGGCTTGCGCTTCGCCCGGGCTCTCTTCGCCCGGCCCGCTTCGCTCGGCTCGTTTCGCCCAGGGGTGACAGACTGCGCGGTGACTTCGAGGAGGCAGGACGGAGAAGGCAGGACGGAGGAGGGAGGAGGAGGAGGAAGTGGGAGAAGAAGGAGGGAGGAGGAGGAGGAGGAGGAGGAGGAGGAGAAGGAGGAGAAAAGGAGGAGGAGGAGGAGGAGAGGGAGGAGGGAGGAGGAGGAGGAGGAGGAGGAGGAGGAGGAGGAGGAGGGAGACTGCTCACCTGTGCGAGGTCGCCAGCGTGACGCGCGCCGCGGTTCGAACGGCTCGGTCTTGCAACGGGTAGTACGTACGGCTGTCGTGGAGGAGCCCCAGCAGGGAGGGGAGGAGGAGGAGGAGGAGGAGGAGGAGGAGGAGGAGGAGGAGGAGGAGGAGGAGGAGGACGGAGGAGGACGGAGGAGGAGGGAGGAGGAGGGAGGAGGAGGAGGACGAAAAGGAGGGAGGAGGAGGAGGAGGAGGAAGATGAGGTGGAGGAGCACAGGGCAGCTCGATCGCGGCGGTCGCCAACGACGCGCCGCGGTCCTCCGCGGGGTCTTCGTCTCCGCCGCCGCCGCCGACCGCGCCCGCCCGACCCGATCCGACCCGCCCGTTAGGGCTCTCGCGTGCCATCTCGATTACGCACCACACTTGAATGTCCCGCCCGCCCGACCCGACGCGCCCGTCAGGGCCCGCCCGCCCGACCCGACCCGCCCGTTAGGGTCCGCCCGCCCGACCCGACCCGACCAGCCCGTTGGGGTTCTCGCGTGTTCGGTCGTGCATGCGCCACATTTTAACGTCCCGCTCGCCCGACCTGACCCGCCCGTCAACGTCCGCCCGCCCGACCCGACCCGATTGCCCATTAAGGTCCGCCCGCCCGACCCGACCCGACCAGCCCGTCAGGGTTCTTGCGTGCTCGCTCGCGCATGCGCCACACTTTAACGTCTCGCTCGCCCGACACGACCCGCCCGCTACGGCCCGCCCGCCCGACCCGATCTGATCCGCCCGTTAGGGTCCGCCCGTCCGACCCGACCCGACCCGCCCGTTAGGGCTTTCGCGTGCCATCTCGATTATGCACCACAATTGAATTTCCCGCCCGCCCGACCCGACCCGCCCTTTAGGGCTCTCGCGTGCCATCTCGATTACGCACCACACTTTAGTGTCCCGCCCGCCCGACCGGACCCGCCCGATAGGGTCCGCCCGACCCGACCCGACCCCCCCATTAGGGTCCGCCCGCCAGTCCAACCCGACCAGCTCGTTAGGGTTATCGCGTGCTCGTTCGCGTATGCGCCACACTTGAATGTCCCGCTCGCCCGACCCGACCCGCCCGCTAAGGCCCGCCCGCCCGTTCCGAACCGACCTTCCCGTTAGGGCGCCCGTCCAGCCCGACCCGACCCGCCCGTTGGGGTTCTCGCGTACCATTCCGATTACGCACCACGTTTGAATTTCCCGCCCGCCCGGCCCGACCAGCCCGATAGGGACCGCCCGCCCGACGCGACCTGACCCGCCAGTTAGGGTCCGCCTGACCCGACCCGACCCGCCCGTTAGGGTTTTCGCGTTCTCGCTCGTGTATGCGCCACACGTTAGTATCCCGCCCGCCCGACCCGACTCGATCCGCCCGTCAAGGATCATGCGCGTTCGGTCGTGTTTGCGCCACACTTGAATGTCCCGCCCGCCCGACCCACCCGCCCGTTAGGGTCCGCCCGCCTGACCCGATCCACCCGTTAGGGCTTTCGAGTGCCATCTCGATTACGCACCGCATTTCAATGTCCCGCCCGCCCGACCCGCCACGTCCGTTAGGGTCCGCCCGCCCGACCCGACCCGACCCGCCCGTTATTGCTTGTATTAGGGTCCGCCCGACGTACGCGCCACATTTTCATGTCACGCTCGCCCGACCCGACCCGCACGCTACGGCCCGCCCGCCCGACCCGACCCGATCCGCCCGTTAGGGTGCGCCCGTCCGACCCGACCCGACCCGCTTGGCAGGGCTCTGGCGTGCCACCTCGATTATGCACTAATGTCCCGCCCGCCCGACCCGACCCGTCTGGCAGGGCCTTCGCGTGCCATCTCTATTATGCGCTAATGTCCGAAAGCGCGCCAGTGGATCTCCCTGAATACACAAAAGAGGGGGGGGGGTGCTCGCAGAATCCTCCCCCCCCTCCCCCCCTTCCAAGGGGGGGGGAGATTTTCGACTCCCTCCCCCCCCTCTCCCCCTTGAGGGGGGGGGTCCGAACCCCCCCCGTCCCCCCCCCCTCCCCCCTTTGCGCCGGAAAGGGAGCCGGGGAGGGGGGGCCTCTCTCGCTTCTCCTTTCTGCGCCGGAGAAGGTGTGTAGGGAGTACCGCCCGCCCCTTCCCTTCTATTCCCTCCCACTCTCCAACGGCGCGCGCCTCCAAGGAGACTGGCGCCCTCAAGCTGGCTCTCCAGGCGGCCAAGGCGGGCACTGCCAGGGCCACCCCCTTCATTGCTTTGTTCAGCGCCTAGGACATTGACGGCAAGGGCGGCGACGCCAACGACCACGACCTCCTCTCCTTCTCCCATTGTCTTCCTGTTCCTCCTCCTCCTCTTCCTCCTCCTCCTCCTCCTCCTCCTTGGAGAGCATGCTTGGCGCTGACCGTGCGCATCGTTTGCACGCGTTGTTTTCCACCGCGAATTCAGCACAATCCCGCGCGCAGCGGCCATCGTAGAGGGCCTGCGTGCTACAGGCGGGCCTGCCTCCCTTGCAGGGACGCGGGCCCCTCCTGGCGATGGTAAGCAGCGTCCTCGCAGGACCCCCCCGCGCCCGTCGAGCGCCGGCTCCCGCAGCGGGGTCGGCGGAGGTCAGCGGCTCACGCCCCGCGGCCTGGACCGAAGGAGTGCAGCTCTCCGGAGGAGTGGCGCGGGGGCTCCAAGGTGGAAGCGCTCCGCGCTCCGCGGGGCGCGAGCTCAGGAGACCCGGAGGGGCTGTTTTGCTTCGAGTCTGCATTGCCGCTTCTGGACCTCAGTTTGGCATCGCTCGGACGTGTGCATGTTTTCCTCGGCGAGGACCATGGGGGAGCATCCTGGATGGCTTAGCGAAAAAAGCACGCATGAAATCGACTAAATACACGAGGAATGGACGTCCGAGCGATGGCAAGGCAGGCCGCAGCACTTCCCGTCACGTGCGGGCCATCGCGCCCGACGGGCGGGCAGGAGTCCTGCACCCGGAGCCCCGCCATCGTGCTGGGTGAGTGGGGCGGAGGAGTTGACGTCGTCCTCCCCTTGCGCCTCGTGGGCGCCACCTTCCCTTAGCATCGCTCGGGCGTGTGCACTTGCCCCGGCGAGGCCAGCGTCAGAAAATCTGGACCATCTTGGAGCAGATTGGACCACCTTGAGAGGACAAAAAAACGCACGATACCAACCAAAAATTGTGCACGGGGGATGGACTTCCGAGCGATGGCGAGCTTCTGTTTGCGCGGTTTGCGTTTTCTTTGGCGTGCACGACGTCCCCACGGAGTGGCCCCGGGCTCTCGATCAAGAGAGGCAATGGACATGGAGGAGAGGGGGGAAGAGGAGGAGGGGGGAGGAGGAAGGAGACTGAGAAACAGGAGGGAAGGGGCGGGAGGGAGAGGAAGGGAGGAAGGCGGGGAGAGGGAATGGATGGGTGATAGGAGGGGAGGAGGGTACAGGGGGATGGGGACGATGAGGGGAGGCGGCTCGAAACCTACTGGCGCAACTTTCGTCAAGCACGCGACGGCGGGCACTGCACGGCGAGCGAGCAGATCAGTGCCTCGGCACATGGCGCAGGGCACAAGCACATCGGTTTCCACATGAGGGCGAGGAGGGTGAGGCGGCTCACACCTCCAGCAGCAGGACATCGCGCCGTGGGGTGGCATTTCCGTCGTCCGCAGGCCGTCTCCAGGCCCCTGGGGCTGTCAGCGGAAAGCCTCAGGATGGACGACGGATGCCAGGGAAGGGGGGGGTCGAGAGTTCTGGAGGCCCACGCTTCGAGAAAGGGCGGGGCATCGAAAGCTCGGGGAAGCGGAGCCGTCGGCATTCCGAGAACCTCCAGAGAGCTCGCGCTTGAGCGCACTCGTGGATGTCCGCGCGCACGTGCGCACACGAGCCCACGGAGAACTCGCCTTCGTTTCGAGAAAGGTCGGGGCATCGGAAGCTCGGGGAAGCAGAGCCGTCGGCATTCTGAGAACCTCAAGAGAGCTCGCGCTTAAGCGCACTCGTGGATGTCCGCGCGCACGTGCGCACACGAGCCCATGGAGAACTCGCCTTCTTTTGGCCTGCAGCCGCCGCCCTCCCCACCCAGATGACGCTCTGCCTCTTGCGTGTGTTCGTCACTGCTTTGCCCTCCCATGCCTCATGCAGGCCTATGGCACGAGGTATGCCGCAGCCATCGCTGAGGCGAGCCACGATGCATTTTCTGCGCTTGTTGCATGGGAGGCTGGAGGAGCAGGGTTCGTCGTGAGCCTACGAAGATTCTCGATGCTTTCGTGACCACTATCGTCTTCAGGATTGCTAGGATTGTTCAGTTCTGGAGGAGGCTTTCATGAGACGAGTCTCTGCAGACGATCCGCATTCGCGGAAGTAAAGTATGTCAGAGAATATGTTCCATGTGAGCAAAGCAAGAGGAGGCTCCCATCCCTTCTCATTGTGCTGATAGTTTCTCTATCCGCCGAAGGGTGTCCTAGCGGACACGGATCTGCCCACAGGATCACGATCGTGTCATGCGCAATCTGAGCATGGAAGTTGTGTACATTGAAGGAGAAAGTGGCAGATGAGCAGGAGGAACAGGAGGAGCAGGAGGAAGGAGGAAGGAGGAGGACGAGGAGGAATTGCAGCAGCAGAGAGGAGCAGGAGGACCAGGGGAAGGCGGGGAAGGGAAATGAAGGGGACGACAACGACGAGGAAGCGGTCAGATCCAGAGATGCAGCCCGCGCTTGAACGAGAGCGCCATTCTGAACGACTGGAGCAAATCACCGACCCTGAAATGAGGCCAACGCTTCATCGACAGCACCGTTTTGAAGCACCGGAAACGATCCGATTGGAAACGACGCGCGAACGACCAATTGTTTGAAATCTTGTGGGCTCAAACAGTACGCGGAGAGGGTGGGTCATCTCCGACCAAATCAAGGGAAAACGAGAAGAGTGCCCATGTTGAGTAGATATTGAGATTGCAGGTTGGAGCAGAGTGAAGCGGACATCGGAGAAGTGAGAGAGTGGAAGTCGTTTCCCTGTCCATTACCATTGCCCACGCTTCAAAGCTAGCACGGCCGGGCATAATCCGCTTGCATGAAAAGCCAGAACCGTTTGTTGATTGAAGAAGTGTTCGCAACCGTACACTTTCGCAGATATGGTGTTCCTGATATTGGCGCAACGGGGTTCTCTAGCTCGGTGGCCCGAAATTTGACATTCGCCAAGCTGGATAGATGCATTCAAACGTTCGTTATAGACATGCCTGGCGGCCACTCGATGCACGCCCAGGCGCCGATATCTGAAAGAAACTTACAGGAAGCGCTGTCTCACGAAAAGAACGAACGGTCTCGAGCCATCGGCTGATTACATCAGACGGTCCAGCGCCAGCGAAACTGGAGATGGGCACCCTAAATAGTGCAGTTCGGAAAACCAGGAATGAAAATCACAGGCTCTGCGATGGGGTCCTCAGCAGGATCCGGGGTGTTGGGCGACGAGGGCAGGGACACCAGGACAAAAACAAATGGTTGATGACATCCCGCGTATTGCCGGGTCAGGGTGAATTTCCAGACCCTGTTCTGCAGCTGTAGGTGTCCTTGCCCATGCCGTTTTTCGTTGGTTTTCCAGCTTGCCATCTGCCTAGTGCGACGACGCTCTCTGGCGACAGATGCAGGACCGATGCTCGAGGGGAAGACACACGGGACATTGCAAACATGGTGTGTTCATCACCAAATTTATGTACCCGCGGCCCGTAGACCAGCCCACATTGTCCTCCATGGGTACAGTGTTGTTCTCGGAATGGCTCAAGACGGCCGAAGAGAGCCCTACGATGGTCCTAAAGTGCCCCCCCCAAAGAAAAATGCTCCAAAGGCAAAATGCCCAGAGGCAAAAAGAGGCGGGAGGCCCGAAGAGCACCCCAATAGGCTTCAAAATGACACCTAGTAGCCTTGGGGCTTCCAAGAACCCCTCCAGGAAGGAAGACCTTGAGAGGCCCAACTGAATTGGACAAACTTGTGTTTGTTGATGCTCGCTCACTTTCCAGGCGGTCCGGCCCAAGAGGGCCCAAAGCATGCCCAACACGAGCCAGGACAGCTCCAGGAAACTTCAGATCGGCCCACGGAGCCGCCTGGGGCGAGCCGGGATCCCTGGGGGTGCCGGAGCTTGCGCCCGCAGGCTGAGAGGGTGCTGGCGCAGGTGGAGGCGGTGTGGCAGCTCAACGCCGCGGCCCCGCCCGGCGGAAGCCCCTCGGAGTCGTTGCCGTCGCCGTCGGTCGCCCGAGGCTCCAGTGATCGAGGCCCGAGGACTTCGTGTCTTTTTGATCCCTCTCGGGCTTCGGGAGGCTTCTCGTCGCCAGAGGCTTCCCCCCGGAAGCTCTGGGTTCCAGCGCACCCAGGGAGTGTTCATCGTCGTCGTGCCCCTCCTCCTCGGCAGACCGCTGGGCCAGCATCCCTGCGGAGGGCGCTGCTCTTGCCGAGCGACGCCGCGCCCACGAGGCCCGCCGCGCACGGGCTTGCCGACCCGCCCGCCTGCTGCAGGCACTCCTTGCTTGGGCATGCTTGAGGCGCACGCACCCGAAGCGCAAGTGAGCGGAGGCCGCGGCCGCCGACGAGCAAAGGCAGCAGAGCATGGCCTGGAGCGAGTCCATGAGCTCGGACGAGCACGGGAACCCAGCAGACTACCTCCTCCTCCTCCTCGCTCCTCCTCCTCCTCCTCCTCCTCCTCCTCCTCCTCCTCCTCCTCCTCCTCCTCCTCCTCCTCCTCCTCCTCCTCCTCCTCCTCCTCCTCCTCTTCCTTCTGGAGCGCTCATAGGGGGCGGGTTCCTTCATTGGCGGAGTGGCCCCAAAGAAGAGAGACGGCTCCCAACCCGTTGGTCGCGTCGGGCCAGGAGGCCCGCTGTGGGAGGAATTCGTTGTTGCCAAAGCCGCAGAGGGCCGCCTTGCCTGCACGTGTGGGCCTGGCGCAAGGCACACTGAGGGAGGGCCAGGGACTGGGTGGAGCCTGGCCCTCCACACGTCGTGCACCACCACAGGCCGCGAGCATTGTGGAGGTGTTGGGAAGCACGAGTCTGCCACGGGCGCCTCTTGCAGGCTGAGCGGAGCCACTCGAGCCTGGGCAGAGATCGGGTCGGGGGAGAGAGGCACACGGAGCATTCCAAAGTGCCCCGCGAGGGAACTGGGAGCGTGGGTGGAGATGAGCTGAGCAGCTGGGGCGGCTGCCCGGGTCTCCTGGCGGCGAGCTCTGGTGGCCGCCGTGCGCTCGGCGAGTGTGGGGGTTCTGTGTCCAGGGGCCGCCTCAGCCCTCCCCTGGGCCCCCCGGCAACCGCACAGGAAGCAAATGGTCACAAGCGTTCAACGCAAGTGTATCCAGCCTAGCTATGCCGACCTTCGATTCCGCGGGGATGGCGGTTAGCTTCGCTCCGAGGTCAGCGGCCTGGTCCGCTCACTCGTTCGCAGCAAACGTATCTGCTGCGAACAAGCCTACCGATATCAGCCTAGGAAAGATGAGATTTTACTTTACTGAAAAAGAGGGCTCGCCGTCGCGGTCTCGGACGACAGCCCAAAACAAAACCAAGCAGGCGGTCAACGTGGCGTGGGCCATTGTGGGCCCTTGTGAATGCCGCCACTGGCAGATTGAGCATAAACTGAAAACCTACCTGGGCACGTGGTGCAGCGGAGGGCCCGGGTTATGCCTTAGAGCTCGGCCAGGGGACCGGGCCTGGCGTCGACCCACCAGGGGGGCCCAAGCTCACCCAGGGATTTGGCCCACCAGGGCCACTGAGAAAGCCCAGCTGCACCTGCGTCAACGAACATCCGAGGAGTCTTCTCCTCCACTTCCGTCGGACCCTACAGCAAAGTGGGAAAGGGGAAAACTCATTTCTTCTCGGAGACCCCGTCACCGTGGAAATTGCGGCTGGCCGATGATCACATATCTCGTAAGCCCACCGTAGTGGAGCCAGTCCCCTGAGCCACGAGCAAGGTCACTGTTCATGTCCTGGAACGGCATGTCCAACCAGTTAGACATGCATACCTGGAACTATTGGGAGGTGGGAGCATCCCCACACCTGGTGGGAGAGAGTTATGATGTTCCAACCTGCTTTAGCCTTGACCACCAGAAAGAATGTCAAGCACAAAGAAAGTACCGAAACTTGGGGGGTGTCATGTGTCGGGCCCTGGGAGGCGATACTCGTTCGACACTGTTTCGATACTTTTCTGGGTGCTCGAAATTATTTCTGGCATGCGGTCCTTAAGCTAGATGGGAGCGACACAAGTAGAGAGTCTCAGGCTGTCCGCCCTATGCACATCTTTGTTTGTCGGGCCCTGCGTCGCTGAAACGGTGGGCTCTTGGCCACAAGGCCCTAGTCGCAACGAGCTCTGACAGTTGCGTGGCCACTTTGGTTTTTCCTACGCAGAGTCCGGCTCATTCTCCCGAAAATGGTAAAGACAGGTCCTTTCCTGCAATCTTGCCCCGCAGAAAGATTGAGAGGCTCAGTCCTGCCAGATTCGAAGCTCGAAGGTTGCCTCCAGCTCCGACGGGACGCGACCCAGAGAGGATCTCAAGTTAAAAGGAACCCTATCTGGAGGTGCATCGCCTGGGAGAAGGCAGAAGACGCCTCCTGAGTAGTGGGCCGACGCCCACGGTAACTTGGGGTCCTGGTTGGCTTGCATCAGGGTGGTGATGACAGCTCTCATGGGACCTTTTGACCTTGCTCCAGAGTGCTCTTGAGGGAGAGGTGGGCACGCGTCCGAGCAGCTTCCAGGCCAGTCCTTTCCCCCATGAGCTTGGGGAGGATGTTGATCCAGGCCTTCAGGGGGCCCACCCTGCCGAAGTGTGAGGGATCCCGTTTTTTCCCTGGGCTCAACCTTGAGGCAACTTCGGCGCCCCCCCCTGCTCGACGTCTCCTCGCGAGGGGCGCCATGGCGGACCTCAACTTCTTAATCACGGATGGTGAGCCTCCCTGTCCAGAAATGCCTCAAGCTTTTTGAGGCTCCTCTCCCGTGAGACTGAGTTTAGTAGCTCTCGTACCGGCTCCGATCGGTTCCCGAACAAGCTGGGCACGAACCCCAGCCTTCTCGTTCTGGAAATAATCACTGCTGTGGACCGCCTCCCTCCTCCGCGAAGCGAGATCGAGTCCGAGGTCTCGGGCCTTGGTGGTTGCTTGCGCCCTGATGCCAGCTCGAGCTAGCCCGTGGTGGATCTGGCGATGCAAAGGGCCAGAGCTTGCGAGCAATTGGGACTTGGCGGCGGGCAAGTGAGAATTGCCACTCCTGGACCCCCCTCTGCCTGGCGCAGTAGGTCGCTCTGTCAGCTCGGTCCCTGATCTTCTTGGCACCGTTGGCTAGTTCGCGGATGTTCTGGAGGTCCGTGTTGGCGGGGTCTTTCACGTTCCTGCAGAGTTCCCAATAGGAGTCCTGCAGAGCTCCCCAAGCATGCAGGGTGTCTCCGAGGTGATCTCGGGTTCGATCAGATTCCCACGATGAACCAGCCGTAACGCTTTGTCATTGGAGTCAGCACCCACCAGAGAACGTACTAGATCTTGAAACCGCGCAACGACTATCTGCCAAAAGGCGAGCTGCTCCGCGCTACCAGCTCGCGAGGAAGGCACTGCTGACGTGCGGACAAGTCGCGGCGCCCACCCACGATAGTGCACCGCTGCCCGGGCGACCCGGCCTTGCCTGCAGAGGCGCAGCGCCTCTGCAGCCACGGAGAACTGGCGTCCTGCTGAGAGATGAGGACCGACAGGCTGCTGCAGTGTGTCAGTTGGCCCCTGGGCCCCGGTCGGCGAGGCTCTCGGCTTGCTGGACTAAGGCGTCCCGAGGCCAGGTGGGCCCCTGGAACCCGAGGGGGAGCTTGGGCGGGTCAGCCAACGCTTGCATCCGCTTGATCACGAATTGCTCATGAAGCGTCCCGGTCAGGCCCACATGAGGTCAAGCCCATGGGCCCTTGAAATCGCACTCGAGGGCGAGGTCGGCAACGGGAGAACGAGAAACCAAGAGGTAGCCAGCCACCCACTTCCAGAACTGACGCTGAGCCCCATTAAGGGCGAGGAAGACTGCCCCAAGGTATGCTTCGGACGTGCTCCACTTCCAGATTCCAGCCAGCTGCAATGATAACAAGAACATTGACGGCAAGGGCATTCGATATTCTCTCGTCTAGCATTTGCATGGTGGATCCTGTCAGATCTTCCCCTTCTGCAAAAAATAGGCTGAGATGAGGAGGATGGTGGCCCCGTGGATGCAAGGTTATCTGGCAGCCCACTGCCCCCCTTGTCCCTGAGCCGAGTCAGACCATTCCCCGCGACGAAGCCGAAGTGGGCGAGAGCCGAGGTGTGAGGAGATGAGGACCCAGGCTCCGACAGGTCCTTGTCTCCCCACTACGATGGTGGCGAGGACCTGGCGCCCTTCTACATGCCACTGGTCGCGCCGTAGGCGTCGTACTGCCGCGTAGTAGTCCTCCCCGCGCATGCGAGTCTCGGCCCCCATCTGGATGTGGATGTCCTGTTCCTGGGCCCGAAGCGCGTCTGCCCCAGCTCCGTCCACTTCCTGCAGCTGGCGAACAAGAACGTCATGCCGCCGATCTTCTTTTTGTGGCGGGGTTGTGGTGGCTTGTCCTTGCTGGGATCTACCCTCGATGTTTTGAGTCGAGCTGCTTGCCGCGATGTGGCTCAGAGGTGCCCGAGCGTACGGCTTCACCTCCAGACCTCTCCTAGCAAAACTCGGCGACTGCATTGGGGAAGGCTCAGAAGGCACCTTCCCCGAAGTGCTAGCATTCCCCCTGGCAAAACTTGAAAACTAAGCGGCTGACTTGTGGAGGGCTCAGTAGGCACCTCCCCAGGGTGCTAACTCTCCCCTTGTTGGCAGAACTTGGCGACTGACTCGAGGAGGGTTCAGTCGGCACCCTCCCCGAGGTGCTCGCGCTCCCCCTGGTGGCGTGTTCATGTCGCGTTTATTTGCCTGACTTGTATTCTTCTTGATCGAGTAGGTCGGAATGATCTGCTTCGCCGCCCATGGAATGCGAGGCAATTGCACGGGTGCCCCCGACGTCCGTCCCAACGCCAGCAATTTCAGACTCCGCGTGTGAGGCAATTATGCGGGCGCCCCCAGTGCCTGGCCCAGCCTTGGCAGCATCGGATCCCAGCCCACCGAGGCAATTCGGCGGCTGCCTCCAACGCCTGCCCCAGGACAGCCGGTGCTACTGCTGCTCGTTATGCTCTGTCCCTCTCCTCCCCCCGACCCCTGAGCGACGCCCCAGGCTGCTCGAGCCCGCCAGAGGGCAGGGTTCCGGAGAGGTGAGCGAGACGGCGCCTAAGGCAATTGCACGGTTGCCTCCAACGTCTGGGCTTGCGCGCGTGGTCCCATTCAACCCATCTGGACTCATGGAAATACCCCCGTGCCCACCCGATCCCAAATCTGGAGATACTGCCAGGATGGAAGATGGGATCCGCCTGCTCTAAGGCGTGCGTGGAGACATTGTGATGGTGAGAGTGAGCGGCTCAACGTAGGCGGTTCTGGCTTGCTGTGGTAGTTGGTCTGATCCCCGATGTAGGTCGAATCGGAATCCTGGATACTCCGCGAGCTCAAGATCTTCATCTTGAAGGTGATAGTGGTGGTCCAAGGAGTCGTCCAATCGAACTCTGTCTGTGGCTGGACGTTTGGTTATTACCCATGGTTTTGCGTCTGCCCCTGCTTTGCCAACCCCTTTGCCTGCGAGGGCCTCGGCGACGCGCTCCCGAGACGACGATGGGGCTGAGGACTTGGGAGTCTGGGTGCCTGAGACGGGTTCGGCTGCCGGGTGCATCTCTGTGACCAGGTCCTGGATCAGTTTCGTGGTCACGGCCAGTAGCAGGAGGAGGCCCAGCTTGCCGCCGCTTGGCCGCGAGCCGCTTCTTCTGCTCCACGTGGGTTGCATGGGCATCTGAGCACTTTTTGCTTGGCTTGAGCGGGCAACGTATGGTCAAAGTTCCGCATGTAGTTGGCAAGCTCCTGTCTCCGGTTCGATCTGACTTCCTGGTCAGTTGCCTCCAACTTAGTCTCCCCCGAGGTCAAAGAGTCCGTCTTCTTCGAATGAGAGATCATCCGCTGACCCGTGGAGGATGGCCGTGAGGTTGGTCGTGAAAGTTAGTTCGCTGTCCTTGCAGTCTGTTTTTGGTACGCTTCCAACTGTGCACTGGCATTCCTCCGCGAGGACCTGCTTGTACTCCTGTTCCGCGGTGGTGATCTCTGCCAGCAACTGTTGGACGAGCTCAGCCTGCTTGGCGGTCTGGTCCTGGAGATTGGCCAGCTTCTCTGTGGCCGCGGCGAGTTTGCGGTCGACGGTGGCTGCCTTCGGCTAAGTTGTTGCTGCCCGCTGGTGCACTGGTTTGCCTTCCCGACTGAGCTTGGCGATTTGTTCTTTGTAGTTGGTGGTTGTGTCATGGCCTCCCCCCCTATGCGTGGCAACGACGACGAGCTTCCGGAGGTATCGGATGAAGCGGCAGTCTTCTCGGCACTTTGGTGCGGGTCCAAAGATTGATGCGTGGGCGCCACGGTGTTGCCTTGGGCTTTGGTCCCTCTGTCCGACAGTGTTTGCACCACGTCCATTGGAGAAATGTCTGGCCACATTCGCACTTGCTGCACTTCCATCTGTCGTTTGCCGTCTGCCCTCCGACGTTCCTCCAACCATGGCTGTACATGCCAGGGCGCGAGAGAAAGGAAAGGATGTGAGGCAGACAGCCTGCCTGAGAATATGGAATGTGGATGCGTCGAGCGCCCCTTCGACAGTTGTCGCACGGCGGTGGACACCACAAGTTCGAGCCCCCGCGACAATGGGTTCAATTTGAGCCAACATGGGTATGGTCCCCTCCTCCTCATCCTCCTCTTCCTCCTCCTCCTCCTCCTCCTGCCTCCTCCTCCTCCCTGGTCTCCATCCTTGGCCCGTGCACGCGCGCGCGGCAGGAGGAGGAGAAGGAGGAGGAGGAGGAAGAGGAGGAGGAGGAGGAGGACGAGGAGGAGGAGGAGGGAGGAGGATCAGATTCCTCTGATTCCGCCGATTGATCCGTGCCACGTCAGATGGTGGCTGTAATCCCGTAATCCTCCTCCTGGTCCTACTCCGCCTCCTTCTCCTCCTCCTGTTCCTCTTCTTTCTCCCAGCAGCAGCATGACGGGACAGGGGCGTGGATGGAGAGGTAATCGAAAAGCAAGGAGAGGAGAGAAGGAGCGAGGAGAATGCGGCGGAGGAGAAGGAGGATGAGAAGTATGAGGAGGAGGAGGAGACAAGGAGAAGGAGGTAGATATAGGATATAGGGAGTAGTAGACGAGAGGAGGTCGCGAGGAGGCACAGGAGGAGGACGAGGAGGAGAAGGAGGAGGGGGACGACGACGATTAATACTAGGAGGTTGACGCGACAAAGAGGAAGAGGAGGAGGAGGAGGAGGAGGAGGAGGAGGAGAAAGTGGGGGAGGAGGACGACGACGAGCATGACGGCGAGCAGGGCACGGCGACGACGACGTTGGCGGCAATGACGGCGTCGATGCGCTCGCACGCGTGGCGGCGGCCGCAGGCGTGCGGCGCGCGGCTGCCGCCCCGCTCCACCCCCCCACCCTGAATTGCACTGCCGAGCATGCTCACGGCAGCGCTGCGGAGGCAGTGAAGAAGGGTGACGCGGGCAAGCTGAAGGAGGCCCCGCGCGGCACCCCCGCGCGGCATTAGTGGTGTTCGCCTGCGGCCGTCGTCGCCGGCGGTCGTCTTCGCTGGCGGTCGCCCTCGGGCTGGGGCTCCCGATTCCTGCGGCAGCGGGATGTCTGGTAGCAGTTGGCTGGCCCCGCCCCTGCACCTTCGCTGTGAGCACACGGGTCAGCATCACGTCGTCGGGATTCCAATTCTTATCCAGAACTTCACCACGGGCAGGAACTTTGGGCTTTAGGGGGCCCCGAGGGCCCGAGGGTCCTCGTAATTACTTCAGTCGAGAGCAGGACGCCGCAAGCTCCGATCCGATCCAATGACCAGATCAGCGCTCGTTGGGTTCCGATCTCCCCCTCATCCGAGTGCAACGGCCAGGCCCAGCGGCGCCCAGGCCAAGCCCACCCTAGCGCGCGAACGGCGCGAGAGGCAGGCCGCCTCCCCGACGCGCGTGCAGTGGGTTCGTGTCGTGTCGGTGCGGCGGCGACCTCGCCGCTGGCGTTCAAGGTCGAGCGCCGTCAGTGGCGCAGAATCGGCTGATATGACACGATCCGGCGATCGAAAAGCTACCGATCGTTCCAGGTAGAAAGATCCTCGCGGTGTCATAAAGCAACTCCGGCGTCATCACGACAAGAACTTGCCGTATGCGCGGAGGGGGGGCGAGCGTGGCGGGGCCCCCTGCGACGGCACGGGGGAGGAGGTCAGTCCAACCCTCGACAGCCGCAGCCAGCCAGCTGCCGGGCCTCGCCCCAGACTGGCCTTGCGGAGCCTCAAGATCCCTGATCTCTAGTTCATCCTTTCGCCCACTCCACCGGCCCACATTGTTTTACTGTTGGTAGTTGTTCTACGCTGGGAAGTGATACGAGTGAAAGGGTAGGGCCAAGAGGCGTCATGGAAGTAAACGAGGAATCGCGCCTCCATGATTCATGGTCATGAGCTTGCAGGATGCATCTGTACATATTGCGTGCTATCCGTGGTGCTTCTCTCCCAGGTGAGCCTGGGGCCGCTACGCGAGCGCGAGTTGGCACATACAAGCACAGATTATCAACCTCACGCCGCAGATTATAGCACGCCTTAAGCCCGTCGAGCCAGCGAAGTATCTCCTGTCTCATCCTCCCCCGTCCCCATCATGCTCCTGTCTGACGGGTCGGCGAAAGCAGGTGAAGGGTTCTTAGCAAAGGGACGCGCGTTCGCAGCAGACGAGATCAGTGCGCCTTCACGCTCGCAATGAGGCGCGCCGTTTTGGCCAGCGTTCATACGCACACCTTGGGTACCGCCCAGGCCGTCCTTCTCCTCCCCATGGAGCGAGGAGGCTTCAAGGACCGCCCCGCATGAGACAGAGGTCCCCCCCTTGAAGCCCGCCACGCCATGCACACTGGGAGCCAGAACAGCACGCTGTGCGCTCGGAATTGTACCTCCCCCCTGGGGAGGTTCCGGCTTCCTCGTTTCTGTTTGCGCTTCTAACTGCCGGCACCGAGGAGCAATGGCGAAGAGCGGTTAGCATCATTTGAGTCGCAGCGGCACGAGCAGACGTTTGAGCCGATCGGTCCTCGCTGGTGGCTCCCAAAGCTCATGTCTGAACGCCGGCTGGCCTCCTCAGTCCGGGGCCCACGGCGCCAGGCCCGCGGCCCCACGGCCGCGAGTGAGGACGAGGAGGAGGTGAGGAGTCGGAGGAGGGACGGGGAGGGACAGTCAGAGGAGGGGGGAAACATTGGAGCGAAGACACGAGCAGGTGGCTTGACCGCATGGGCGGGCACGACGATGATGATGATGGTGATGAGTGGTGATGGTTATTTAATCGCTTCGCTCATTCCGCCGGCCCATATTGTCGCACCGTTGTGGGCTAGCCGAGTTTTGGGGCCTCTTGGGGGCCGTTTTGGGGCCTCTTGGGGCCTCTTTTGGGCCTCTTGGGCGCCTCTTGGGGCGCCTTGGGGGCCTCTTGGGGGCCTCTTGGGGCCTTTTTGGGGCCTCCTGGGCGCCTTTGGGGCGGAGGGCTTGATTTTTCAGTTCTCGGTTCCCCTCTTGAGCCCCTCTTGGGCCCGTCTTGGGGCCTCTTGGTCCGTCTTGGGCGGCACTTGGGCCGTCTTGGGGGCCCTCCTGGGCCGTTCCGGGGCCGTCTTGGGAGCCTCGTGGGCCGTCTTGGAGCGGTCTTGGGGGCCTCTTGGGCCGTCTTGGAGCGTCCGGAAGCCGAAAAAGCCAGAACGCAAAAAACATAAAAAAACAATGAAAATCAACGATTTTGGCCTCTTGGGGCCCTCTTCGGAGGCCTCTTGGAAGGCCCTTGGGGCGTCTTGGAGGCCTCTTGGGCTGTCTTGGGGCCCTGTTGGGCGTCTTCGGGCGATCTTTGGCCGTCTCGGGGCCCTCTTGGACCGTCTTGGAGGCTTCTTGGGGACCTCTTGGCCCGTCCTGGGGCCCTGTAACAGGGCTCCGGCATCTCTGGCCCGACCTTGCCGGGACCTTGCCGGGGACTTGCCGGGGACTTGCCGGGACCTTGCCGGGGTACTTTTCGTCCGGGGACCCCCAGGGGCCGCCCCGCGCGCGCGAACTAGAAATACTGTTAATCAGGTACCGGAGATCTTAGCACGCTGATGGTGATGAGTGGTGATGGTTATTGTGATTCTGACCCTGATAGTGATGAGGAGAAGGATGGTTATTGCAATGATGATGATGATGATGATGATGATGATGATGATGATGATGATGGTGATGGTGATGATGATGTTGATGTTGATGATAATGATGAGGAGGATGGGTGAAAGTGAAGATGTTGATGATGAAAGGGAGCATGATGAAGATGCTGCCGAAACTTGCGATGCTGAATAATAAGAAGAAGATGCTGATGATGATGATGATGATGATGATGATGGTGGTGATGGTGATGGTGATGATGGTGATGGTCATGATGAGCATGATCACGATCATGATGATGATGATGATGATGATGGTGGTGGTGGTGGTGATGGTGATGATGATTGTGATGATTGTGGTGATGAGGAGGAGGATGGAGGAGGAGGATGGAGGAGGAGGAGGAGGAGGAGGAGTTAGGAGGATCGAAGAGAAGTGAGGAGGTGTGATGAGGTGTGAAGGGGGTGGAGGAGTACGAGCAGCCCAGTGGGCGGTTCGACTGCACGGTCACGGGGACGCGGGCGGGCGGGCGGGCGGTTCGCTCGACGATGTTGCAGGTCATGGAGCGTGCCGTCGCCGCTGGCGTCGAGGACCGCGCGCCTGAGGGGGGCGAGAGGGGGTGGCACGTGCCACAGCGAGCCCCACGCGCGCGGGATTGCGAGACGAGGGGGAGGGACGCGCGCACGCTCGCGCGTGCGCGCGCAGATCATGCTGCTGCTTCTGGCCGGCAGACATTGTGTGCACGCACATTGGCTCTCGGGGCCGGCGGGCCGGACAACAGGTACCTCGCTGCTCTAGGATTTTCGAATGCTCTCGCATGTTTTCAGAAGTGGTGCTGTATCACCCCCCCAATTCCTTCCCGAGCTTCCTCGCCTCCTTTCCCATACTCGCTATCCATCTGCGTCATTCCCCCCAGCCCCCATGCCATTCCCCCTCACTCTTCCCCTTTTTCCCATCTCCCCATCTCTTCCCCTGACCTCGGTCCCTCATTAGCAAGCAGCACATTCTTCAGTCGAGTGGTCTTCTCCTCAGTGGTTAAAGTGTTGCCAGGGCTACGCTGGAACATGATCCTGAGTGCACATTTCACAAGCGCACCTGGTGTACCTGGTGACAGCTAGAGCTCCGTGCGCGCCTGGCACACCTGGCACAACTGGCCCTCGCAGCGCACATGGCACTCCAGGCGCACCCATCGTTCCCAGCACAGCTGGCGCACTTTGCGCACCTGGCGTCCACAATTGTCAGCCGCGGCTGACGATGACGAGGCGATCGTTGCCCATGTTGAGTCTCGTATGTCAACCGTGTGTTGGGAGGGCAGCTGAGAGCAGGCGAGACAACTTGCGTGCTTCAATTATGGAAGGTCGACCCCTTTCCCCTACCTCCTTCCATGCCCCTTCTCGAGTCCGTCACGCTGGCGCACCAGTCTCTCCTTCAAATTACATTCCGTCCTCCATCCTCCATCTTCCACTAGAGAAGGAGGCGCGAGGGGGAGAAAAATATGAAGAGGGAGGAGGCAGCTGATTGGCCAGCCTTCCACCCGACCCACGACATCGATCAGCATCGCTGCCTCTGTGGAGGGCCGAACACGAACAAACATCTCGCCCTTCAATCCTCAATATTCGTCGAGCCTCGATCCTGGGGGGGCAGCCACAGAATTGTCAGCCTGGAGGGGCTGCCCTCTGCCCCGCCCCTCCTCGTCTCCCTCCTCCTTGGACGCCCGTGTAGCGTCCTGGGAGTGTGCCTATTTCGCCACGCGGCTGGTAAAGGAAAGGGGCAGAAGCATCCAGAGAGCTTCAGTTGGTCCCTGGAGATCGCTGGAGGCTCGGAGGACTCCGGAGCCAAAAAAGCAAAGGCGTTTCAGAACCGCTCGATCCCCGTCGTCGCCACAGCCGCCGTCGTCGCCGCCCGTCGTCGCCAGAGGCCACAGAGGCCTCCACGGGTCCACAGAAGGCCAGACGTCACAAAAGCAGCTCCAAACCTCTCGAAGGTCATCGTCGTAGACGTCGTCGTCGTGGTCGTCGCCGTACACGTCGTCGTCGTCGTCGTCGTCGTCGTCGTCGTGGTCGTCGTCGTCGTAGACGTCGTCGTAGACGTCGTCGTCGTCGTCGTCGTCGTGGGCGTCGTCGTCGTAGGCGTCGTCGTCGTAGGCGTCGTCGTCGTAGACGTCGTCGTCGTCGTCGTCGTAGACGTCGTAGACGTCGTCGTCGTCGTAGGCGTCGTCGTCGTGGTCGTCGTTGGCATCGTCTCCCGGGCGGCGGCCTGCCTCGGCCAGCGCTGCCCGGGGCAGGGAGGCGGGCCAGAGTGACCCCGGCGCGCGCCGCTCAGGAGCACTTCTTGGGCCCCGCGAGGCTGCTTTTGGAGCAGGCGCGGAGGATCAGGAGGGGGAATTACCTACCCCGCTTTCGCTTCCAGGCAAAACCAAGCCATACCACGCGCCTCCTCGTCAAGTGGCCTGACCAGTACAGGCTGCAATTTGGCATCGTTTGGTATCTCTTGGAAGCGAGGGTGGTCAAAAGCGAGGTAGGTTTGTTTCCCCCCTAGAGGAGCAGGAGGGGGAGGAGGGTCCCCGTTCGAAGCTCGGGGGTGCTGCGCTGTTCTCGCTCTCTTTCTGCCCCTGGGCGCCATTCGTCGCCGCGGCTCCGCCGCGAGATTCTGGCCAGAACGCTCCCGAGGACAGGTCCGAGGAGGAAAAGGAGAAGGGAGAGGGGAGAGGGGGATGAGGCAAGCTAGGTGCGCTCGTTGTCGCGTCATATTTGACGTCCTACCCCTCCCTCCAATCCCTTACCATGGCGTAGATACCCTCTCTTTCGCACAGTCGGATGTCGAGCAGGGCAATGATCGCGAGAGGGTACGCGATGCATGGTAGAGCACGGCATGGCATGGCGTAGAAGATCACGGCAGAGCGAAGCATACCATAGCATGGCGTGGCATTGCGCAGTGAAGCGTTACGTCACAAAGCATTGCAACGCAAAGCATGGCATCGCACAGCGGCGCAGAGGACAACACACAGCATGTCATGGCATGGCGCCGGGTTCCTTGGAGGATAAGTGGATCGTCTCCGAGAGGTCTGGGCTGGTCTGGAGTTGTGGCTCCATGTCTAGCTCCTTGGACTCCCCGAGAAGCTCCACACAAGGCGGGGTTGATGGAGAGCACCCGCTGGCTCTGCTTTCAACATCGCTTTCTCCAAACAGTAACGCGGCTCCCGCTTGCCCGAAGTGGTGGGCTTCTGCGGCCGAACAAATCAACGAATCGATACCGAATGTGTAATCACTTCCGATGGTTTGTCGGGGGACATGTTTCAGATGTTGGGGCCGATTTGATTGGACAATAAGCTCCGTTACGCTATTTGAGATGTGGTCCACTTGCCTCACTTGGTCCCACTTGCCCCACTTGCCCAAGTGGGCCAAGTGGGGCCAAGTGGCCCCATCAATTCCAGGACGTTTACCTTCGAGCCTGCGCGGGCGGGAGGGGCAAGTGGAGCAAGTGGGGCAAGTGGGGCAAGTGGGCCACATTTCAAGTAGCGGCGCACAGAGTCGCTCCCGTCTCGCAAAGGTGCCGGACCCCCCCTTCGAGCATCTATGGGGGCCGCGTCGCACAAGTGCTCGACCCCCCCCTTTGAGCACCTGTGGGGATGGGTTTGGTTGGTCCGAGTGGGGCCAAGAGGTCTCCTCAATTCCAGGGGAGGGCGGGGGGAGTTGGGGCAATTCCCGCCCCATGCCAGACCCCCCTCTTTCCCAACAGCCTGACAGCTATGGGTGCTTGTCCATCGGTGCCACCTTCGACAGACCCTAACCCTCCCAGCCAAAGCCAGGGTGCCTTCTCCTCCTCCTCCTCCTCCTCCTCCTCCTCCTCTTCCTCCTCCTCCTCCGCCTCCTCCTCCTCCTGTTCCTCCTCCCCGTAGCCATTTTGGCTCAAGTAAACCATTTCTCGAGGTGGTTTGCAGAGACCAGGAGCCTGCCCAGCAGGCTCGGCCCGCGCATCAGGGGTCTGCTGGGCAAGGCAGGCGCCCTCACATTTTGTATGCGTTCCGAGGAGCTCCTGTATCGTACTGGTTGGGCAGGAGATCAGTTCTTCACGGCCGCGCATGGGGCGCAATGAGAAGGATGATCAGCGGACTGGAAGCAAGTACGAGAAGTGCAGGGGATGTGGGTATAAGTGGAACTGGGGCACCAGGTCTGAGTGCTACAAGTGCCAGAGGGGACTGCAGCCAGCCACCTCACAAGAGCGAGCCTCGCAGGGCAGCGGGGGCCCCAGCGGTGCCTCTTCGCGGGGCCGCAGTCGCCCATCGGTCAAGCAGAACCGCGAGGAGCTTCTCAAGCAGCTGCGGGCCACCATCCCCGACGGCGACGCAGAGGCCGCCCAGCACCTCGAGGCGCTCGCCCGAGTGCACACTACAGAGGTGCACCCAGACGTCGCCCTCAACCAGGCCCAGGCGCGGCTCCGCAGGGCCGAGGCAGGGCTCAAGAGGACCATCGACAACATCTCCGAGGGCGAGCGGTTTCTGCAGGACCAGAAGGAACTGCGGGAGAACTGGATCCACGAGGTCGCCGACGCGGAGGCGGTGGTCCGGGAGGCCTACGCTAGAGCGGCGCCCAAGGCCGTCGCGCCTGCGGAGGCGCCCACGCCAGCCCTGGACCTCTCGCAGCTGCTCGAGGGCGACCTGGACATCCTCAGCGTGCGGCCGGGCAAGGCCTTCGACCTCGAGGGGCTCGACATCCCGCCTGAGGAGCACCGCCAGTTCGAGGAGCAGATGGGCCAATTCGTCAAGCAGGTCCAGACGGAGGTCAAGAGGCACTTCGGCCCAACGGCGGAGGGGCTCGCCGCGATGCGAGCGGACCTCCAGGCCTTCAGCGACAGGCTCAAGAGCAAGAGGGCTCGGTCGGAGCCCCCCCCCCCGCCAGAGGCCGCCGCAGCTCCCGCCGCAGCGGCGCCAGCAGGCAAGGCGGCAGGCAAAGGTGGCGCAGACTACAAGCAGCCAGGGGCGGCCGCGTCCAAGGCAGCCCCCACAGCGGGGCCAAAAACCCCTCCCCCTGCTGGCGCTGACGGTGCTCGCGGCGCTGCTGCAGCCAGCGGAGGCGGCGCGGCAGGCACCACTGCTCCTGCGGGGGCCACGGGCAGGACTCCCAAGCGCGAGCTGGCACAGGACGTCCGAGCCAGGATCCTGGAGCGGGCTGCCGTCAAACCCCCAGGGGCGGACACAGACTCCAACGACTGAGGGACCAGCCCCGCAAGGCTGGCGACGGTGGCGCCAGCGCCCACGCCGCGGTCGGGGCAAGGCTGCCGCGCGAGGGCGAGGAGCGCCTGCCGTTCCTCACGACGTCGACGGGGTCGTGGAGACCCCCACCACCTCTACGAGCACTACCACTACAAGGGGGGCGCCTCCTGCGCCCGACCAGAAGGAGGTGTCCCGAAGGGCGGCCAGGCGCTGGCAGCCTGGGCCAAAGCGGGTCGCCTTCATCGTGGGGGCGTGCGTCCACGTCCCAGCCATAGAGGAGGGCCTCGACATCCTGGACGGGGACGGCGACAGCTCCTCCTCGAGTACCTGGGCACGGAGGGCGATCAGGGGAGCGGACACGCTCCGCCGCCAGCAGCTTGCGCCGTGGCTCCGACGGCTGGGCGGCAGCTCAGCCTCGAGCACAGCCACGGATGCCACGGAAGAGGCCCCAGAGGCGCAGGTGTGGAGAGCCGCACATGTGCGGGTGGCCGAAGCCTCTCCCCATGCGCCCCTCTCGCTGATGCCGCCGACAGGCGGGTGGTCGAAGCCTTCAGCGATGAGCTCGTGGGACGGAGAGCCGCAGACGTGCGGGTGGTCGACGCCTCTCTGCACGAGCGCCCCCAGCTCGGCCCCCCTGACGAGGGGGTGGCCGATGCAGCCCAGCTGGGGAGAGGACTACTGGAGGCCTCGGTCACGGGGCAGAGGGTGGCGCGCCAAGCCTGGCATGGGCGTCAGCTCAGCCTCGACTACGGCTACTGATGCCTCGGAGGAGGACCCAGTGACGCATGATAGGAGAGCCGCGGATGCGCGGGTGGCCGATGCCTCTCCACATGCGCCCCTCTCGCTGATGCCGCCGACAGGCGGGTGGTCGAAGCCTTCAGCGATGAGCTCGTGGGACGGGGAGCCGCGGACGTGCGGGTGGTCGAAGCCTCTCGACACGAGCGCCCCCAGCTCGGCTCCCCCGACGGGGGGGTGGCCGACGCAGCCCAGCTGGGGAGAGGAATACTGGGAATCCGGACCGCGAGGCAAGGGGCGCAAGGCAAAGCCCGACATGGACCTCAGCTCAGCCTCGAACACGGCCACAACCGCCTCGGAAGAGGCCCCAGTGGCGCATGAGTGGAGAGCCGCGGATGCGCGGGTGGCCGAAGCCTCTCCCCATGCGCCCCTCTCGCTGGTGCCGCCGACAGGCGGGTGGTCGATGCCACCAGCGATGTGCCCGTGGAACCGAGAGCCGCAGACGTGCGGGTGGTCGACGCCTCTCGACACGAGCGCCCCCAGCTCGGCTCCCCCGACGGGGGGGTGGCCGAAGCAGCCCAGCTGGGGAGAGGGACACTGGAGGCCCAGATCTCGAGGCAAGGGGCGCCACGCCAAGCCTGGCATGGTGCTCAGAGGCCTCAACGGCAGCGCCTGGGGCACCCTCGTCGACCACTTGGACGAGATGCCGCTGGGCAGAAACACCATCATGCTGGTGCAGGAGCACCGCCTCACCAGCGACTACGTCGGCGAGATTAGTGCCAGCTGTTTCCAGAGGCACCTCACCGTCGCCCTCGCACCCGCAGCGGTGGGGCCAGGGGGCGGCAGAGTGGCCGGGGTGGGGATCGTCGCCCCACGCTGCGTGGGCCTCACCTACCTCGAAGGCGTGGGCACCTTCGACTTCTCGCCGCCAGGATCGCCAGGAAGGCTGGCGGCGGCCTGGACCCCTGGGTTTCTTCGAGGAGGCCTCATGGTCCTCAGCGCCTACTTCTGGGTCTCCGAGGGCTGGACCGTCCGCAACCTGTCCATCTTGGACGCCATTGGCGAGCTCGTGAGGGCCTACGACATCCCATGGGTCCTCCAGGCTGACTTCAACAACACCCCCGGCACGCTCACGGCCACGGGGTGGGTGGCCGACGTTGGGGGGCACCACCATCTTCCCCTCGGCCGCCCCCACCTGCCAGGGCAAGGGGGGCGGAAGAGTCATCGACTACTTCGTGGTAGACACGCGTATCGCGTCAGCCTTCGGTGCAGCGGAGGTGCTCGACGCGCCCACCGCCCCGCACAGCCCCGTCGCCATCACGACGGAGAGGTCACTGCGGGAGCGGCTAGGCTGGAGGCTGGTCAAGCCTCGGGCTTTCCCGACTCGCCTCCCCGTGGGCTGTCGGCGGGAGCC